GTTTGAACTAAGAAACTGATGTTTCCTTCAGGCTGTAGATCTGCTGAATATCAAATGGTACCATAGCTTCATGTTTTATTTCTCTTCTCTTTACTGCCTAAGCTTTAATCCTTTTCCTATACCAACTGTATGCGTGTGTGTGTGTGTATGAGTATGTTAGACTAGTCTAATTGTTTATGCAGTTAATAAAGTTTTACTTGTATCACACCTGAGGTTGTTCATTGTTTGCTCATAATCGCAATCCCTAATCATGCAGATTTTTGCTACATGCTCTGTGTAGTATTGTACAGTAAGAAAGTTATTTCCCTTAAGAACGTTCTTAGAATTGACAGACAGTTGACCCTGAGAGGTCAAGTAAATACTTACAGCGGATCTAAATATTTAATTATAACTAGTTATGATTAATTATGCATATTCCCCCTTTGAGCTGATTCACTACAGAAATGGTGGAGGACGCGAAGCGTGATAAATCAAAGGTTATGAGCTTAAAACACTGTAAACCTAAAAGCCTTTCCCACACAAAATTACTATTGAAACAGCTAATTCTGAGCTCTTAGACAAAGTTGCCAGAAGTTAGACTCTGATCCAGCAGTTGAACAACACTCAAGACGAACTTGACATGGTTCAAAGAGGACTCAGGTACTCTTATAGGCTGCAAAGTCAGTATTAAAGCGTAAGTCTGTTCTGACGAAGAAATCTCAGCTCAGCATCATGTCCAAACTGTACCATAATGCATTAGTCTGCTTTAGTGAAGAAATCACAAAATTGCAGTATTGTTTAAACTGTTTCTGACGAAGAAATTTCAGTACAGTGTTATATAAAGGTAGATTTGAGTGATGCTCCTCTTTCTACAGCAGAAAGGCCTTATAGATTATAATTAGATCGATGCAATTCAATTTGAACTTAGAATGCAACTATCTTTGATGTATCCTTCCTGAATGCTTTTGCTCAGTTACTAGTTCATTAAATCTAAATTTAATTACATTTTAACTGTCTGTCTAGAGAAGAATTATTAAGTTACTGGGTGTTTTTAGTAGCAAAGTGAATAACACACTATCGAGGGCGGGGCACACGGTGCATGATGTGACCCCCAGAGACCTTGACAAGCTAGCCAGAAACATCCTAGCATTCACATAGTCTGGTGAAGAACAGAACGTTTTAAACATTGCTTGCAAGCAGACCCAGTAATCAATCGTATGTGTCTGTCTCAAAAGTTTAGTAACTTCTTATACATGCGCATACCAGTTTCTGATCAAAATCAGATAAAACTATAGCTTGAATGTGCCTTCCTACAAGCAGTAGAAAGTTTTCAGTGCTATAAT